AATAAAGTCTCTTAAATTTTGAACCATTTTATCTTTTATAAATGTAAATGAACTGAACATAAACCGATGTACTAAATATAATAAAATGTACTAAAATTGTACTAAAATTGTACTAGTACAATGTACTTCTCATTAAACATATAATTGTACTACTATACTAAGTACAGTAGTACAATGTACTAGTACTATACTTGTACGAATATTATATTCGTACACTGTACTTTTCCAATCCTGATTATACTATAGTCAACAGAAAAAAAATAGATGATGAGATAAAGTTATGGAGAGAAAATAATAATGGCATGTTCTGGGTTCGCAAAGTCCTTAAACCAGAAAAAAAATCAATTTGGAATAGTTAGAGTATAAGTAACTGGAAATATGTTACATCTGAATGTTCTTATTAGAGATAAAGCAAACGTTCATAGATATTTTCATTTACAATTAGCTGAAATTCCTGTACGATTATCAAATATAGGTATTGTAACTAAATTTGTAAAAACCCTTCTACTTTTACAAAATATATTAATTACAAATTTGTTACTTCTATATCACGCCTCCATTTTCTTATCAAAAAGACAAAAAGAAGATAATACTACAGTTTCTACTCTAATACGATATGATTAGAGTTTCTTTTTTTAATTTATATTATATTTTTTGTATCATTATTATTTTACATATTCATCCATATTTTTCGTGTGAGAATAGTATTATGCAATTTCATGGTAATAGCATGATATTGACATGGTATTTTTTTTCAGATCTAATAGTAAAATATATTATTCAATACAATATTAGTATAGCATTTCTTAGAAATAGTAATAATACAATTTTAGATTATCTTAACAATCGATTCCATGTGACTTTGGTTAAAAATCATTCCACAGAAGTTATCTGCATGATTCTAAGTTACATCCATTATATATAGTCATTTGATATGTAATGACTTGTCTTTTGCACTTATACCACCCCCCCTCTACATACCTGCAATAATGTAGTTAAGAAAGATATATAATACCATGTTCTCTGCGAAATGTCTTAATAGTAAAGACCTAAATACTAAAAAATAAAAAGCTTTTTACAATATGAACTGATAAGCAACTTCGAGTCTTGATCAATAACCGCAAAGAAAATAATGAAATGTTTCATGAACTAGTTAGGAATAGGAAGAGAATTTTCTGGAAAAAAGTCTTCACAAAGAACAACCTTCAGTTTGAAATGTCATATACTGGTGCGCATTGTAGGGAAAAGTTCGAGAGCCTCAAACGTGATTGTAAAGTATGTAAAAATCCTTCTGAAATCTTTGAAACCTCAGCCATGAATAGTGCCTGATGTCAGACTAATTTATCTTTTCTGATTAGCGTATGGAAGCGTACATTTAGATAAAGATAATGGAAAAAGGACTAAGAACAACCTCAAATATTATAAGGAATTTAAATTAGAGTTCTAGAAAAAACCAGGTAAAGATTAGTCGATTTGAGGAAGGAATATTATGAGAAGATATATTAATCCCTAATAATTTATTTTACTATAGTGACTGAGTATGATCGGCTTCGTGAAAAAACATCGCAAGAAGACTGCAAACTTCACCACAACTATATGAAGAAAATGGAGGTTCTATTTTGCAACTATCACCACCATAACCATAATGATAGGAATAGTTGTTATAATATAAAAAAATAATTAGTTTTTTCGCTGTAATTATTTTACCAAGAATCCTCTCAAAAATATATATATATATATATATATTATAATACGAATACAGATATAATAAAGATAATATTACTATTTTTTGAAATTCCATGAAATTCCATTTTTTTTGTATAATGTATAAATATATAATGACATTTAATTAAGCATATTCTAACTTGCTAGCAAATTACCAGCTTCCCTAATAAATGAGACATAAGTACGTCTCACATCACGGAAACATAACTCATTATCTGAGATAGAGGCTAGCGGAATTAATTCAATTGTAGAATCGTTTTTAAAACATGAAGCTATTAGATATTAAAAGAGATTAATGCATCAGAGATGAACTCAAAGTTAACCAGAGTATCTGACATATTTTTCATTCAAAGAATTACCAGTTATTAATAGAGTCCAAACTGATATATCACTTATGATCATGAAAAAGAGAATAATTGTCAGGTTATAAATGAACTTAAAGTGTTTCGTCAGCATCTGCTTGATTATAATAAAAGAACTTTTGAAAAATTCATGCAAGACATAGAAAGGGAATATAAAGAGCGAATTAGTGCAAATAAGAAATTACGATGTGAAAATGAGGATTTGAAGATATTATTGCAGGAGGTGGAAAAAAAGCTGGCATCTATGAAGTCAGATTCTTCTCATTAGTTGGGAGTACTTTTTTCCTTGTATTTTTGCAAAGTAAGAATCCAGTCAAGATCATATGTTTTTTTGAAGATCTATATAAATCAAAGGTTTTCCCATTCTTTTTTATAAATACAAAAAAAGAATGTTATTTCGCAAATCTCATCCAAGACAAAGAAGAACATGCGAAGAATATAAAGCTGAACTGGAGAAGAAAAACTACCATCTTCATAGTGAATTGCAAACAAAGTTAATACTAATTATCAGAATGAGAGATAAATTAATCAACTGGAATGAGATTATGCTCAATGTGAGCAGAAAATCCAAAATCTCAATAGGGAGATAGAACGCCTTAAAAATGCTTCAGAAGAAGAGATAGTAGAGTTGAAATCTAAAATCTCCAATCTAAAAAGTCAACTATATCAAGCTAGAAAAGATGTGCAAAATAAGGATAAATATATCTCTACCTTAGAAGAACGGTTAGTACAATCTGAGAAACAGGTAAAAAAATTGCGATGTCAAATCAAGGTTATCACATCAAGAAAAAATTCACCAGTACAGAGGAATTCTTTTGATCAATATAATTCTGATAATAATATGACAATAATCATAGAGCTAGCAAATGCTATAAATGGTTTTGTGAATAATAGGACATTGCATATAAATATTATATCAGACCAAATAAAAGAACAACAAGACAAGTTCGTCAAAAAGAAAATAATTTACGTCAGGATATAATTTGGAAGCAGAGAAGGCGTTATGATGCAGAAGCTGAGTGAGATAATGAAACAATATGAAGAAATCTTGCTGCAGAAGTGATAGATAGGATTGTTAGTGATCTTTAGCAATTGCGAACTGATCTCTAGCAATATCAAACTAATGCCCAAAATCAAGTAAACAGAATGATAGTTAATATAGCAAAAAAGCAACCCTGTATTAGTGAATTGCTATGAGAAAATTTTGCCTTTTGGTTATTATATCAACAAAATGCTCATCATTTACAGAGATGCAGACAGGGGCTTGTTAGAATATACAGTCAACTCTCTCTACAATCACACCTTATATAATCACACCCTCTTTATAAGCATACTATATTTTAGTTCTGATTTTTTAAAATATAAATACCCTCTTTATAATCACATATTAATTATAATCACTATCACACCAATGATTAAACTGATATAATTAGTTAATATAATAAAATTCCCTTTATATAGTCACATTATCACGTGATAAGATGTAGATAATATAACTAAAAATATTATATGTGTTTTATATTTTTGGTTAATAGAGAAAATGATATATGCATTTTATCTTCTTTTGGATTAATTTAGGTTGATAATCTTATAATAAATCTTTTTTTTAAAAAAATCCTTTAATTTTTTCTTTCCAACTTTTTACTTTTTGAAAAATTGAATATTTTTAATAAAAATACATTTTACACTCTTTATACTCATTTTTATAATGTTTTTAACTAATTTCAATAAATTAAAAAGAACTCGTACCTCTATTAGTATTAATATAAAAAAAGAAATATGTGAATATATGTCACTAATCCTCATGTAAAACAAGGTGCTGTTGCATTATATTTTAATGAAAAATATAGTGGTAAAAATATTAATAGAACTAATATTACAAAAATATGGCAAGAGCGCGAAAAGTGGCTAGTTGTTTTATCAAGTTCACAAAATTTACATAAATTTCGTCATCGTGCTACACAATTTCCTGAATTTGATAAAATATTACAAATTTGGATATCTCAAGTAGTTGCAGCTGGACATTCTCTAACAGATTTAATTTTACAACAAAAAGGAATAGAAATTGCACAAATGTTGAATATTAGAGAGGATCAATTCA